CCCTCCCCTTTCTTCGTCGTCATCGTCGCTGTCGCGAAAGCCCTCCGGTCCCTCGATTCCCTCGCCTATCCCCTCCGCTGCGTCGTCCCAGTTTATATCCTCATCCTCTGCGCACGTCGCGTTGGCTTCCTCTCTCCCCCTTTCCTCCCTGCCCCTCTCGCTGTCTGGTGTTAATGGACCCCCTTCCTCTCCCTCGCCACCGTCACCGTCTCCATCCCCGTCGCTACCGCCCTCCATGCCCGCCGCCCTTTGTTTCACACTCGTCTCTGCCATGTCCGCCGTCGCCGCCGTCCTGTCTGCTGCGCTCTGTGCTCCGTGGTACAGTCGCTTATTGTTGCTCAGGATTAGCTCACGCACCAGGACAGCCTCCTGCTCGTTATTTTGGCTTGCCGATATGCATCCAAAGTTCCACGCTAGCTCCTCCTTCGTCACGTCTATCTTTTTGCAGTATCTCGCGAATGCCGTCCGCGCTTGCTGGGGTGTTATTGCGTTCGGATCCGCCCTGGTCCCCGCCTTGTATCCCATCTCCTTGCGGTGGCTCCTGTATGAGTCCCCATATGACCATGTGATTTCTTGGCCTTCCTTGACTCCCCTCTCTGCAAACAGGACCATCACCTGCGCAGCTGCCTTGCCTAATTGTATCTCCTCGTAGCGTACGAAGTGCGTCGCCCTCGTGCCTCGTTTCGGCTCATTCGATGCTGCAGGCCAGTCGAAGTTACACCGCGCCGCGACGCTGTCAAAGTCGTCCCCGCTCTCGTCGTCACTTCCATCCAGCTGCGTCCCCCCTGCTGCCGTGTGTCGTGATAGTTCGTCTGGTACCGTCTCTGGTGGCTGCGCCGTTCCTGTCCGGAAGATCTCCCCAGTGTAGATGCTACACACCTCAAATTTCTCTAGCCTCCTCGTCGCCAGTAGGCCGAGTTCCCCTTCCGCTATGCTAGAGGGGCCTACCTTCGCCCCTTCCACCGTGCCGCCCGTCGTTAGCATGGCCGTCGTTACTTTCGCCGCCGCCTCTGCTGCTTGTCGGCGGAGCGCCTCGCGCCTTCCCTCGTCTCCATGCTCCTGGTCTTGTTCTTTTTGTTTTCCTGCGCTTCCTGTCGCTGGTCCGGCGACGTATCTTGCCGTCTGCCTTCGCTTCCTGGCGGATGCGGAGGCTCGAGAGGGATTCGTGTCCGTCGCTTCTGATTCTCACTCTCCTTTTCCGGTTCTCCTACTCGCGGTCGCGTGCCACCGGCTCGCCCTCAATGCTTTGATTCGCGTCGTCGCCAGCCACTTGCCGAAGCGGATCGTCCACCGCATCGTCGGGTGCAGACCGAGGGCCGTCCGCTGCATCGGCACGCTCTCCCCCACCCCCGCCGCGGCCTGCGTTGCCAGGAAGGAACTCGCGCAGCTGTGCAGGCGCACGCGCCGAAGCTGCACCGACAGCGCCGGCCCGTGGAGATAAACTAACTTTATGGAGATACGGCTCTAGTTGACGACAGCGCTAAGAAGCGGGGATGATCTGGAGCCTCCATGCACACATGCTCACCGACGCTCTGAAGGAGTTGCTTCACTGTTGCACTGCCTGGCTCTGCAGCCGCGGCTGCGGCGGCACGCGCTTCTGCTGCTGTTGCTGCGCGACCCTCGCCCGCGCCATCGCCTTCTCCACCTGCCGCACCGCCGCCGCGTGCGGGTCCTCCTTGCGGCTCTTGCGCGGCGGCCCGTCCGCCTGCGTCACGAAGGCACCGGCGTGATGACAAGGGAAACACCGCTCTGACAGCGCTCAGCAGTCTGGGCTACGGGTACAGTACAGCAGAGTCCAGGCGGGATGCAGCCCGAACATCTCGGAGCACTTGTCGAGTCCGACCATCGCACCCGTCTCCCGCATCTAGTCTCGCCTTTGGACCGGGCGAGGACAGCTCCGGCGCGGTCGGCGGCGGTGCGGACACGAATCGCGGCGGCGCCTCGCCGCGCGCCGCCGCCTCAGCAATCAGGTGCGAGCGCTGCACCTGCCGAAGCAGCTGCTTGCGCTCGTACGCCCACGCGTGCGCCGTCGCCCTGTGCTGCGCCTCTGCGCCGCGCAGCCGCGACAGCTCCTGCCGCGCCGCGCGGAGCTCCGCGTCGACGGCGCGAGTCCGCTCGCTGCTCGCCTGCTCGGATTCGGGTACTGGGTTGGGTAGGGTGCCCTGCTACCTAGGGTCGGCGCGAGTCCGCTCGCTGCTCGCCTGCTCGGCGCCGCGCATCTGGTTGGCGGCGGTGGTGGTGGCGGCCAGCTGCGCCGACAGCTCCGCGTTGCGCAGCGCGAGGCGCTCGACCTCGCGTTCATTAGTCGTTCATTAGTAGTTGATTAGTAGTTGATTCGTAGTTCATTAGGGAGGCGCTCCACCTCGGACCGCAGCTCGACGACGAGCCCTTCGGAGCGCTGGGCGAGCTCGGTCGCCTCGTGGCGGTAGCGGCGGCTCAGCTCCTCTTGCTCTCCGAGCAGCGCCTCCGCCTCCGCCGCAGAGCGCTCGTGCTGCTCCCGCGCGTCTCGGAGCTGCGCCCGCAGTGCTCGGATCGCAGCGTCCGTCTCCTCGCCCGTCAGCCTCGCCTCCTCGACGTGCTGGTGCTTGCGCGCCGCCAGCTCGGCCACCGCGGACGCCGCCTCTCGCTCCGCCTCCTCGCGCGCCTTGCGAGGAACCAGAAGTCACTCAGCCGGGGAGATTAGTCATCGACACGCCCGTCGCTCCGCCCCCCCCGCGCGCCGCCAGCGTGCGCTGCCGCTCGCCACGCAGCTGCGCGGCCTCCTCCTCGGCATGCCGCAGCTGCCGGCGCATCGCGTCGAGCTTCGCCTTAGACACGAACCACGAACTCACTCGCCGCACACGCAAGGAAAACGAAATCCAGGGGGCGTCGCGTCGGGCTTCGCGCCTCGCCGCTGCTCCGCTCGAGCGCGTGCGCGTCGGCCTGCTGCTTGAGCTCGGACGCCGCTGCCGCTCGCGCAGCCTCGGCCGCGTCGCGCGCCTTGCAATCAGCAGCACTCATCACTCAGACCCCAAAGCCCGTTGAACAACCCATTCCCTCGGCCTCGCCCCGCGCCTAGTCAGTGCTGGCTGCGGATCAGGAGTAGGAGTCTCGCGCCCATCGCTCTCCTCGGCCGCGCCCCGCGCCCGCTCCGCCGCGCCCAGCCGCGCCGCCAGCTCCTCCACCGCCGCCTCGACCGCCCCGCCGCCCCACCCGCCCTCGCCGCCCCCTCCGCCGCCCGCCGGACCGGCGACGACCAGCGCCGCCGCCGCCTACAGGAAATCTCCCAGAAGCTTCCGAGAGGCTCGCTCCCGCCCCGCCTGCCGACAATCAGAGAGAGGAGGAGGCCGCCTCCCTCTCCACGCCATGGGCAGCCCCGTCGCTCGCCCCGCCGGCGCCGCCCTGCAGCGACCGCATGTACTTCCCTCCGAAGCGGCCTAGCGGCAGTCGCTGGGCTCGCTCCTCGAAGGCCCCAGCATGGCCCGCATGTACCTCCCTCATGGGCAAGGCCTCCTCCGTCGCGTCATCTCGGGTAACCTCGGGTAATCCCGGATACTCTCGGGTAATCTCGGGTACTCTCGGGTCCTCTCGAGGCAGGCCTCCGTCGCGGCTCTGCGCACGCTCGAGCCGCTGCTGCAGCTCGGCGCACCGCAGCTCGGCACTCTCCAGCTCCTCGCGCAGCGAGGTGCTGCGCGCACCCGCCTCCCTCCGCAGCGACGCGCTCAGCTGCGCCACCCGCACCCGCTCCTACGCGGTAAGGGAGGAGGTGTGAAGTGAATGTCTCCACACACACACACACACACACACACACACACACACACACACACACACACACACACACACACACACACACACACACACACACACACACACACACACACACACACACACACACACACACACACACACACACACACACACACACACACACACACACACACACACACACACACGCACACACACACACACACACACACACACACACACACACACACACACACACACACACACGGCGGTGAGGCAAGGGGGTGCGGGGAGGAGGGGAGGGGGGAAGGGCAATTCGCTCCTCCTCCGCCGCTGCCCGCTGCGCCGACTGCAGCGTCTCCGCCCTTGCCTCCGCACGCGCCGCTCGCGCCTCGAGCGCCTCGCGCCCGCCCTGCGCCACCGCCAGCTCGCTCTCGCACTTGGAGAGCGCCGCCGCCGCGCTGGCCGCCTGTCCCTCGGCGTGCAGCGCCCGCGCCTGTTCACAGCTAGAGGTGTGAAGAGACGCTGTTCACACCGCCTGTCCCTCGGCGTGCAGCGCCCGCGCCTCGAGCGAGCGGATCGCATTGCCGCCAGCGGCTGCGTCGGCGCGCGAGTCGTGCAGCGCATGCAGCGCCGCCTGCTCCCGCTCCTTCGCCGCAGACATCTCGAGCTTGAGTGCGCGCGCCGCCTGCTGCTGGGCGGCGGCGGCGGCCTCTGCCGTCTCTGCCCTGGCGGCCAGCGCCCGACGCTCCGCCTCTTCCTTGCCGCGGACTCGCTCCAGAGCCGCGCGCAGCTCGGCCGCCGTGCGCAGCGCGTCGTCGCGCTCGTTGGCGTGCCGCTCGGCGATGGCCAAGGCGGTCTGCGTGTGCTCCTGCGCCTCGAGCAGCTCCGCGCCGCACCGCTGCAGCTCCTCGCGCGCCGCGTCGCGAGAGGCGGCCGCGCGAGCCGCCGCCGCCTCGACCGCCGCCACGTGCGCCCTCAGCTCGCCCACCTCACCGACGAGGCGCATCTGGTCCTCGACGCCGCCAGCGCGCTCCTGCCGCAGCCGCTCGAGCTCGTCGGCCGACAGCCGCGCCTGCGCCGTCAGCACGTCGTTCTCCTGGTACAGCACATCGACCCGCGATCGGAGCTCTCGCGCCTCGAGCGCGCCGGCGCCGTTGAGGGCCTCCCGCTTGATGGTCTGGGCGTTGAGCGCCTCACGGCGCACCGCCGCCTCGAGTGTCGCCTCCAGCTCAGACTCGAGCGCAGCGACCCGCGCGGCAGCGTCCTGAGCGTCACCACTCGAGCTCATCGGTAGCGGTCAAGCAAGTGATCGCAAGTGAGGCTCAACGCGCGAACAAAGAATTGAAGCCTCGGCATGGGCGCGCACTAGCACTAACAGCGAATGGGAAGGCGAGCAGAGCGACAGTTGGGTGTGGCACGATAAGATGGAGAGCAACGCAGAAGATGAAGAATTCTGGAAAGCAAGGCTCTCTCACAGCACACTGGCACGAAAAGGGCGCGGACTGGCGCGGACTGGCACACTCACCGGCTCACCGCCGGAGCATCGCACAACACTGGGCACAGGACTGGGCACGGGACTGGCGCGCGCGCACTGGCACTAACACAGGTACACCACTGGAGCCGCCTAAGCGACTCCGGCGAGGACGGCGAGGCACTTAGCTCCGTGCACTCGACCGCCCTCGCCGTTGGCAAGCTCATTCACGCAAAAAGAATTTTACAAGAACTCTCGCAGAACACTGGGCACGGGATCCCGCTCCCTTGGGTTGTCCGTTTTCTTTCTTTCTTTCTTTTGGGCACGGGACTGGCGCGCACTGGCACTAACACACGCTGGCAAAAAAACTGAAAATATGTGGAATGGCTGCTACGAAAAACGTATAGCTTCACTGAAAAAAGATTAATGTTCGTGACGCGCGGGTCGCCCCCCGCCGGCGGCGATTCCGTGCCCCCTCCCCGCCCCCCGGCCCCCGCACAGCCGGAACGGTGCCACCCCGCGCGCACGAGGAAAAAGAAGTGCGAGAGCCATATTCGGCGGAATGGCTGAAACGAAACAAGAATTAATGCTGGAACGACGGGCGGTCAAGTTCGCGCCTTTTAGTCTCGTGAGTGTGTGTCGAGCCACAGACAGGACTGACCTACAAAGCTACAATGCCCGCATTGCTTGTCGCAATAGCTCCAGCGCTGACGCCCAACAAGGTTAGGCAAGTCACCAATAGCAGAAGGGCCGCCGCTCTGAGACACAAGCACGCTGCTGTTGCTGAGCATGCTCCGAATGCGTCGTCTCCTCGCAGTGCTGGCAGAACCTGCCGCTCAGAGATACGAGCACACGATTGCTCAGCTTGCTCCGAATGCGTCGGCGAAGCCTCGCGCGGCCACGCACACCATGCAGACTTTCCTATGCCGAGCGGCTGGTCACAGAGCGAGGCAAAGCTGATACTCGACACCTACCAAAAAGGGATGAAATCCCTTATGGATATAATCGCCCACTTATCTCAGGAACATAGTGTGAATGCCCGGGAACAGCCCCTCCTGGCCCGAGTGCGGGGCGCGAGGGACAAACAAATTCAGAGGGCATGAAAGTCGTCAAGCTGCTTGATCAGGCCAGTAAAGATGGCCCGCGAGTCGTGCTCCTCTTGTCGATGGCTGGGATCAGCACGAGGCGCTCGGAAACCTGTGGCTGCAACGAGCCGGCGCGAGCGGGCGCCATCACCGAATAAACTCGCTTCGCACAACGCTACCTGGGCACGAGATTGGCGCACTGGCGCACTGGCACGGAAGGGCAGACGCGCCCGCCGCCCTGCTTCACTGTTTTGCCAGGGCTTCGGGGAACCCTCCTTGTCTACTTTCGTCTCGGCTCCTGCGGCGGGCGCATCTCGATGTATCTCGTCGACAGAGCGGTGCAGGCAAGTGCAGCAGACGCGCGGGCGATTTCTTTTTATGGCTTCGGACAATCCTTGTGCTTCAGCTGGTTCTGTCGGACGCCGCTGACACAACCCATGCTCTTGTCCCTGGCAGTCGTCGCCGCGTCCCTGGCGCACATCAGCCTCGAGTTCTCGGTGCCGCGTGGCGCTTGGTGGCAGGGCAGCGTTCGCGCTACCATCGTGAGGCCAGAGCGAAAGGCGACTGGCGTCGCCGTCGTGGCGCACTGCACGCTCTGCTGGGGAGACTGGTACCCCCACCTCGAGAAGCTCGCAGACACCCACGACCTGATGATGGTATTCTTGCACAGCGACGTCATCGACTCTCCGCGCCACTTCTTCGACTTCTCGAACGGCGCCCCGCACACGTGGTTCTCCGGCTACGGGGAGGACATGACCAAGATCCTACACGCCGTGCGCGATTCGGCGAACGAGTTCGGGTCGGAGCTATACGGCACCCTCTTGCCGGCTGCCCCGGCCGTGGCCGTCGGCCATTCCCTCGGCGGCGCGGGCTCGCTCATCGCCACGTCGAGAGACGAGGACTTTGAGGGCGCGTTTGTCATGTCTCCCTGCGTGGTGCACAGCGAGACGCTCGCGTCCATCTCCAAGCCAATCATGGTGCTCTCGGCGACCGAGGACGGCATCTGCCCCCCCGCCCGAACGGCGCGCCCGTATTACGCAGCGCTTTCGCGTGCGCCGGAGCTCTACTATGCCGAGATCGTGGGCGGCACCCACTGCGCCTTTATGGACGTGTCAGGGACCAACTGGGAGGCAGGTGCGCGGCTCGGTGCCGTGACGGTCTGGCCGGAGGCGGGAAGCTTCGCTGAGCCCTCTTCCCGGATCCCTACAGGTGCGCAGCTCGGCGTCGCAGAGGCGGCCGGAGGCGCCTGTCGGCTGGCGGAGCGAGGCGTGGGCCTTCTGCTGGGCGCGCCGCCGCTGGCGGAGACGCTCGAGAATGACGCGCAGCGCGCGACAACAGCACGACTCGCGGGTGCACGCACGCACGCACGCACGCACGCATGCACGACACGCACGACACGCACACGACACGCACACAAGCATTCACGCACTGCTCGCGCGCCGCGGGCAGTCGACGCCTCTTCACACCTAGCCGTGAATAGCGATTCTTCACGCCTTCATCACATGACCAGGCCTCTTCTTCGATGCCCTGCTGGGCACCGCCGCCGAGCGTCGCGGCGCCGGCGCGGGCGGTGGGCTCGACCCCTGCCCGACCGAGAAGCCCCTGTCCGAGAGTGCGCCGTGCCCGCCAGCCGGCTCCGGACGCGGCGCTCTGCTGGCTGCGCTCGCGGCGGACGAGGCTGCCGGCTTGCTGAGCAACGTGCGGTCCGCGCTCGGAGCCCGCGAGGAGTCGCCGGCGCCCGAGGGCGCGCACCTGGCGAGCCAGAACTACCTCGCCCTTCTCCAGGAGTGCCTCTGCGTCTAGCGGAGGCCGGCTGATAGCTCCTCGGTGCACTCCATATGATATTTGTGAGGAGCGATCGGCGTATGACAACCAGCCGTCGATCCCGTCGGGTCGGCGGCTGCATGAACCCCATGGCGCGAGCGGACGATGGGCTGTCGGTCCCGCGCAAAATAAAAAATCATTGACACAAAGAGATCGCCGCAAGAGATTGCACAAAAAGAAATCGCCGGGCCTAATAGTATATGCCTGCCCCGCCCTCCCGCGCCACTGCCGCGCTCCGCACGCCGCCGCCGTCAGCTGGCAGCGCGCCGGGTGGTGAACTCCCGAAGAACGTCCTGAAGGCGGCTGCGGACGGCCGGGTGGGACCTGTGCGATTGTGGCTGAATGAAGGCGGGAAGGCGGACATGCTCTTCGATGCTGACTCTGCGGCCGGCGGCGGTAAGGCTCCATGCACCCTGCTGATGCGCGCCGCACAGAACGGGCACGTGCAGATTGTCGAGCTTCTCCTGAAGCGTGGCGCGCACATCAACCTGCTTTGCAGTGGCAGCATCACAGCGCTGAACGCTGCCGCCTACTACGGCCGCGAGCGAGTGGTGGACGTGCTGCTGCGGCGTGGCGCGGAAATCGACCTGCAAAACAAGAACGGTGGCACCGCGCTGATGGTCGCCGCCCGCTTCAACCGCCCCGCTGTTCTGCTCCGCCTGCTGCGGGCGGGCGCGGACATGACGCTGCGCGATGCGGAGGGCAAGACGGCGCTGCAGCTTGCCAAGGAGGAGGGCCACGCCGAGTGCGTCGAGGCGTTCAGGACGTACCTCGGGGCGGTGGCTGCGCGCCGGAGCAAGGCACCGTCGGCCGAGGCTGGCGGCGCAATCGCGGCGATGGGTGCGAGTGCCGCGGCCTCTGCTTCGAGCGGCGGGGGCGGCGCGGGGGCAGCGCTGAGCAGCAGCGGGGCGGTACCAGAGGAGGTTGCGCAATTGGCTGAGCGAGGCGACGAGGCGGTGCTGGCGTGGCTCGACGGCGGCGGGCCGGTCAACGCGAGGTTCGAGTACTTCTTTGCGAGCGGCATGCGTGAGAGCGGCATGACGCTGCTGATGGTCGCAATGACGCAGGGCCGCGAGGGGCTCGCCGAGGCGCTGCTCCAGCGCGGTGCTGATCTCTCGTTGAAGGCTAGCGACGACGACACCGCGCTGAGTCTCGCCGCCGTGAATGGCTTCGAGACGCTGGTCGAGCTGGCGTTGCGGCACGGCGCGGAGATCAACGAGCAAGCTACTCTCGGCAGCACCGCGCTGATGGGCGCCGCCGCAGACGGCCACGAGAAAGTGGTCGACACGCTGATCTGGCACGGCGCGGCGATCGACCTGCAAGACAACAACGGCGCCACCGCACTGATTCGGGCCGCTTTCTTCGGCCACCCCGCCGCCCTCCTCCGCTTGCTGCGGGCGGGCGCAGACGTGACGCTGCGCACTACGGATGGCAAGACCGCGCTGCAGTTTGCCAAGGACAAGGGCCACGCCGAGTGCGTGCGCGCCCTCAAGGAGCATGCGGCGGCCGAGAAGGCGGCGGAGAAGGCGGCGGCGGAGGCGGCGTGGGCCGCGGGAGCGGCGGAGAGGGCGGCGCAAAGGGCGGCGGAGGAGAAGGAGGCGGCGCGGCACGCCGAGGAGCTGCTGGCGGAGGTCGAGGCGGAGAAGCGCGCCAAGGGCAAGAAGGGCAAGAAGAAGAAGAAGAAGGGCGGCGGGGCGGGCGGGGCTGGGCCGTCGCAGGAGCCCGAGGAGGGTACCGAGGCGCCGTCGGAGGCAGACGCAGCCGAGGCGGCGAAGAAGGCCGAGGAGGCGAGGCTTCTCCTGCTTCTCGAGACGCTCACCGAGGAGAGGATCCGGTTCGGCATCACGCCGGAGAGCCAGGCAGCGGCGTCGGCAGAGGTGGTCGAAGCTGCGCGCTTGGACGCTGAGGCGGAGGAGGCGGAGGAGGAGGCGGAGGCGGAGGCGGAGGCGGTGGGAGAGGCGGCCGAGACGGCGGACGAGGAGAGCGAGGAGGAGACAGCGGAGGGGCAGGCTGCGGCGGCGCGCGAGGAGGCCGAGGCGGCCGAGGCCGCGCGTTGGAGTGCGGCGGCGGAGGCGGCGGAGGAGGCCGCGGCGGAGGAAGAGGCTGCGTTGGCGGCGGAGGAGGCGGCGATCGAGGCCGCAATCTCCGCCGCCAAGGCGAGGCGCGCGTCGGTGGCGACGGCGAGGGCCAAGGCAGCGGCAGCCAGGATGGCGGCGGAGGCGGCCCAGCGCTCATAGAGAGCTGGGAGCAAACTGTACGCATGGTTCGAACACGGGCGCGTCATCGCTGTTTCGCAGTATCGAGTGGAGGCTTCCCCAGCCAATCTCGTCAGCGCTGTGTCGAGCTCCGGGGCGTGGACCCTTTGGTCGGATTTGGGGCACGGCGATGAGCAGGACCCGCTGCTGCCCAAGCGCAAGGTCGAGGGTGGGGGCTGGGACAGTGAGGAAGGGGGGAAGCCGTGAGTACACGAGACGGTCGTGAAAGTATCTCTTTCGTGCATGTGTGTTTTTCTGCAAATAAGTGACGCACCTCTACCACACTTGTAAAGACTTGTAATACAACGGTTGTAACACTACGGGGGTAAGTTAGAGTTAGTGAGTACTCGTCCACATCACACACTACTACGCGCGACCCTCTCTACCACGTTGAGTCGCCCGGCTCTCCTCTCTAGTCGGTGTGGCCGCTATACTGTACTCTCGAGCCACTGCTCTGGCGGGGTTCCCTAGCTACACGCCGCGCACGACGCTGAGCTCGTCGTCGAGCGCGTCGCCGATGCACTCGATCACGCTGTCGCTGCAGCGGTCGGCCTCCTCCTGCTCGAGGTCGAGGTGGAGCGGGTAGGCGCGGTTGAAGGATCGCATCACCTGCTCACAGCTCTCTTGTTCCACCCAGTCACGGTCGTCTCCACGTCCGACAGCCAGCCGAGCATCACCAGGCGCGTCAGCCAGCTGAGGAAGCTGTCCTCGATGCAGTCGGGCAAGGGCAGGCCGGCGCCGCCGAGAGCCACCTGCGGGGACGATGAGCCGAAGATGCGCCGAGATGCGCCGAGATGCGCCGAGATGCGCCGAGATGAGCCGACACTGCAAGTTCGCGAGCGCCACCTCGATGTCCCACGACACGTGCGGCGGGTCCTCCTTGGTGAAGGCAACGTCGAGGGTCGAGTCGAAGATGTCCCACCAGGCGAGGCAGCGCGCCTGTTCGCGGCGCTCTGTTTCTGGCCCCGCCGGGCGAGACAGCGCGGGCCGAAGGAGGGGCGTGGAATCCTTGTGGGGGGGGGGGGTTACGTGAGGGAGGAAGCCCCCCCCCCCCCCCCCCCCACACCCACACCCACACACCCACGGGGGTAGCGCCTCGAGGTTCAGGGCTCGAGCGTGCCGCCATCTCGGCGGTATCTCGGCTACCTCTCGCCTCGAGCTTGAGGTTCTTGAGCTCGAACGTGCCGAGGGAGGGCACACCGCTGCCGTCGCGCCCTCGAACAAACAGGACGAGCCGCGCCTAGACGGCGGCTGATCTCGGCTGATCTCGGGGCACCTCTCCGACGCGCCGCGCAAGCCAGGAGGAGGAGGTGGGCGCGTCGTTGTCGACCGCCGCCACCGACGTGAAGTCGCTGAGGCCGGGCTGCGCGCCGAGGTCGAAGAGCGGCTCCTGGTGGGACACGTCCGGAAGGCGTGTGATGGACGTGTCCTGGACGGCTGCGGTGGCCGGAGGTCGAGGAGCGGCCTTGGAGTCGAAGCGCACCGCCACGTCTGCGCCGGAGCAGAGCGAGGGGGGGGCGGGGAGGGGTGAGGCGGGTGCGAGGGCCATTGGCCGAGATTCGCCGAGATTCGCCGAGATTCGCCGAGATTCACCGACGTCGATGTCGAGCGCGAGGACGTGGCTCGGGTCGTCCCTCATCGCGCGCGGCATGAAGTCGGGCGGGTAGTCGAAGTCGAGCATGCTCTTGAGCCGCCGAGGCAGGTGCTGCTTGAGCGCGCTCGCGAGCGGCCCCCAGCACCGCTCCTGATGAGGTGAGGTGAGGTGAGGTGAGGGTAGACGTCTCCGCGCACACAAGGAGCTCCACGGCACAACGCAGTGTGTGTGTGTGTGTGCGTGTTTCGCGCCGAGATGTGCCGGTCCGCCAGCTCGGTCACGAGGTCAACCTCGGCGTTGGACACCTGTCAGGCTCGAAGGAGTCGGCTGGGATTGCCACGTGTGCGCCCCCGCCGTATGTTCATTCTCACACCTGCCTCCTCCGTGCCTCCGCCTTCGAGACGCCCTTCTCCGCTTTGATGAGCTTGGTGTCGACGCGGCACGTGCACCGCTTGACCAGCCCCCTCGCCTGCACTGGCTCGGAGTCGAAGGGGCAGGCTGGCTGCCTAGCGTGCACGAGAGCAGGGAGCTTGAGGGCGTGAGTACGGCATCCTTGCAGTCTGCTTGGCGCATCGCATCGCATGTTCAGCATCTAGGCCCAATGCCTCCAGCAGCGGGGCCCGAAGGGCACCAGCTCATACGCCGCGCTGCCGTCCTCCGGGCTGACGACACGCCGCCACAGGCGCCCCGCCGAGTCCGCCCGGAGGACCTCGAGCAGCAGGTTCTTTGCGATCCCCTCCGAGTCCTCTTCGCCGAGCGGCTGCCCCTCGCCCGAGTTGTGCAGCTCCGCCAGCAGCTTCTGAACCTTCCGGCGGGAGGGCTTGAGGTACCGCGGCAGGACCGTCTTGAGGGCGACGTTGACCAGCTTGACGGCGGACCGGAGCAGCTTGACGAGCGCTCGCTTCCGCGTCCTTGAGAGCGCGGAGTTGCCGGGAGCGGCGAGGAAGAGGATCAGCTTGCCCAGCGCCTGGCCGCCGGCGTCGCCCATCCCAAGCAGCATCTTGCTCACGCGTGCCATCGCCCTCTCCGAGCCGGACGCCTTGTCGAGCAGCGCCAGCCATACCGCTGTGGAGGCCTTCCGCCACGTGGCCTGCAGCTTGGTGGCCGCCTGGTGGGCTCGCTTGGACACCTTGTGCGCTGCTCGCTGGCTGATGCTCCGCGGCCGACCAGACTCAGACAAAGTGCTGCAGGAGGAGACGGTGCTGGAAGATGCGCTGCTGCCGCCTGGCGCTTGAAACGCGAGCCGTGCTTTCTCGGCCTCAGCCTCTTCATCCACCTCTGAGGGCAGGACTGCCGCGCTTAGCGTCCGGCTTCGCCCAAGCGACAGCAGGCCGAGCTTTGAGGTGGAGGCGCTCAGCATCCGGCTGCGGCCGCGGGTCGAGTCGACGGCGACGGTCGAAGGAGGAGCAGTCGCGGCGCTCAGCATCCGGCTGCGGCCGCGGGTCGAGTCGACGGCGACGGTCGAAGCGCCAGCAGTCGCGTCGCTCTGCGTGCGGAGGCGAGACATCGAGCTGGGCAGGGCGGCTTGCAAGGTCGGTGGGGGCGCATCAGCTGGCCCCCACGTTTCTTTTTTCAAAACCCAAAATTTCACTCCCTTTGCTGCCATTCTTGAAACCGTTGGGTCGCTTCAGTTCACGAAGCTGTGGGCCGACCCTCCGATTTCATGAGAAGAGAACAAAGTTTTGCATGACACACAACGCACTAAAGAAACAACACAACCACTCCATCAGCATGTAACAGTGACTGCAGTCTTCGGCGCAGATTACTTTCTCAGTCTGTGTCAGTCACTCTCGCACTTGAACACAACCTTGCCCTCCCCTCAGGCGGGGAGGCGGATCCGGAAGGAGTCGCTCGGGTAAAAGGACATCCGGCCCGGCAGCCGGTCCAGCCCGTTGTAAAAGTAGACGTGGCCGTTGAGCACGAACGAGGCGGGCGCCCATCGCGAAGCGCCTGGGTGCGGGGGCAGCGCCTTCCACTCGTCCGCGTCAGGATCGTACCGCCAAAACTCGCCCGTCACCATCGAGCCGTGGTCGTTCCCGTCCCCGCTCAGCACGTACCCATACTTTCCGACGCTCGTTGGCAATCCTTGCTGCAGTAAACCACTTGACGACATCGTTGGCAGAATTGAAAGCGATCACACGCTTGCGAGCTGGCGGGCTCGATTCCACAAGCCGCACAGGACCTCCACTCGGAGGGCCGCGATTCCACTTTCACTCTCCCGTCTTCGACAGTCGACGTGTAGCCAAAGAACTTGATGTAGCTGGCTTGCACCACGTCCTGCAGCGCATTGGCCAGGCCCCCGCTCGCGTGCGAACTCCACAGTGAAAAGAGATCATACCGTTCGGGCCTTGGCTTGCCTGCAGCCTCGCGAGCCGTGCGAACTATTGCGAGCTCATGCACGTCATGCAGTGCGTCGAAGCGCCGAAGACGTGCCTCCACGTCGCCGCGTGAAGGTGGAGACAACTCATCACACCCCGACCTGTGCAATTGCTGGTCAAAGGAGGCAAGGAGCGCTTCAAAGCAACGCTCACAGCAAAGGCGTGGATACGCCTTGAAGGGAAATTCTTGCTGCAACCAGTCAAGGCGGCCAAAGTCCTCCTCTTCGCCAGGACAAGGAAGCTTCCGAGTTGCCTGCATTACTTGCCAGAGCAGAACGCCGTTTGCGCCAGTCTCCACTTTTCTTTGGTCTCCCGCGCAAAATGGACAGAAGCAGCACAACTCAGCAGACGGCAGCTGCAAGCGTGGAAAGCCACCAGTGGCATCAAAGTGGAGATCTATGAATGAGTCCACGTCCTCTTGCACAAAACGAACCCATTCTGGAAGGTCTTTGATTGTGCACCAACCTCCGTACGTGTAGAACATTCCAGGCTTGATAAACCAGCCAGAAGGTGCTTCGTGCCCACCCTCACGAAGCTTCCTTGCTTTCTCCGCGTCCATGCACTCCAAGGCCGAAAACGATACTACCTTGGCTCCGGGGAACGGAGCTATTACAGAGCCCGGGGCCCCTTCAACATCCAGGGAGTCCGGGCCGGTTGCCCACAGCTTTCGAATCGGGGGCAGCGAGTCGACGTGCACACAGACAGGCGAGCCCAGGGGTACGATCGGCGTTACATGCTTGGTGTGAGCAGTCATCAAGTCTACGACTGCAGCCGAGTCGCCCCTTTCTTGCGCAAATCTGCGCGGCATGATGCCATGAGCTGGTGGCTTGAATTCTTTATGAAGCGACGTCAGAACTGGCTTGAATGGCAGTGGTTCAAGACTGAGCTCGTCGACGGCGAGGTCGCCGACGCTGCCGATGAAGGCCAGGTGTGCTTGGCCGGGCGGAGGCGTCTCGAGGTTCTCGGTGCGAAGAAGAACCGCAGCGTCGGAGCCTGGAAGCTTGACTTTCCAACGACCAGAGCGGGCGTCCCAGCCGCGCGACAATCCCACCAGCCCGTTGAGCTCTGCTCGCGTCAGGCCGACGAGCCTCACTACCTGAACGGACGCGTCGCCGCGCGGGAGCGTATGCGGAGCGCCTGTAGAAAGCTTCTCGTTGAGCTGCTTTGCGATCTTGGCTTCCGAATGCGTGCCCCGAGCAATCGAATCCGTGAGACGGTCAATTTGAGCTTCGGTGTGCACACCGAGCGCAACCGCGCGCTCCGCAGCATCTTCGAAAGGCAGGCTGCACATGCATGCAGCACGACTATGAGAGGCGCGCTGCGCGACAATTGTGCCGCCCCCCACCCGAGCGTTGCAGGCCCAGTTTTTTCTTTCTCGACATGTGTGTACTGAGGGTCCACGCTTGTCGTGCCAGCAGGTTTTTCAGTGTAATTTTTTTAGCTTTTACTGGGAGAAAAGGGAGAGGGAGGCGCGCCTCAGTGTATGTGGCTCTTACGTACAGAAAGAAAGAAAACAGACAACCCAGGGGAGGGATGGGAGGACGGCACGCCGCCACCACACAGGGATTTTAAGGAGAGGAGTGTGGTGCTAGCCGTCGCCTACCCTAACCCTTGGTCGTCTGCCTCTACCTATCTCCCTTCGCCGCGTGTTTGTCAAAAGCTTCCGCATGAAGTAACGCGCCTTTTGAGCACTTGAGCACCGGATAGGGTCGATTCCGCGTGGTACGGGACCCCTCGATCGTCTCACCCTCCCTCACTGGAGTGTTCATTGGGGGGGGGGGGGGGGTCATAACAAACACGGTACAGGATCGGGGTCGCGCCTCTTCTTTGTTCCTATCTTTGTTTCCAGCGCAGCTGCGCGCTCAGTATGTGCGCCAACGACGCCTGTGGTGGCTCACTGTCTTCTTGTGTCCAGTCGTCCCAGTCTCTCCGTTCTCCGATTCTCCTCCTTTCCTCGCGCGCCTCTTTTGCGGCCTCATCCCGACGGCCTAACCGGAGTTTCTCCTTTTGTGTGTGCCAGTCCGCGCCAGTCTGCGCCCTTGTCGTGCCAGTGTGCTGTGAGAGAGGCTTGTATCTTAAGAATTCTCCTTTTGCCTCTGCCGCGACGCGAGCTGGTGCGCGCCCGACAACTGCGTGCTTTACTGGCCATGGCACTAAGCCTCAACAGCTTGCCCACGGACGTCTTGCGTAAGATCTTCCGAGCTGTGGCCGATCCGCTCCAGCCTGCCGGCGCCGGCGCGCTAGCCAGCACCTGCGGCGATATCCACCACGCTGTCCGAAGCCGCGCCGCTGGCGCCGACCGCTCAGAGGTGGAGCGGCTGCGCCTGTGGTGGGGGCGAGCGACAGCGCTGTGTGGAGCGAATCGGATGACGCGCGCACAGTTGGATGCGGAGACGCGCTTTGATGTGGCGATCGAGCCTGGCGATGGTCGGGAAGGAGTCATGATGTGGAGCCGCTTCCACTGGATGCCTTTTGCCGCCGCCGACGCCGCCATCCTCGGGCACCTGATGGCACGCGGCTCGGTCGATCGCATTGCGGTGCTCAATCTGATGTGTGCTTCCCTTGAACCGGGAGACATGCAACCAATCCTGAATGCGCTCTCCGGCGGTGCTCTGCCTCGGTTGCACTCTCTTCTCCTCAACGGCAACAGCCTCGGCGACCGCTTCTGCATGAGCTTGGCCGCTTCTGCACGAGCGGCGGGCGTGCTGCAGGCTCTGAGGTTCCTCAACATGTGCTTCAATGGCATCACGGGCAAAGGTGTGACTGCTCTGGCGGGCGCGCTTGCTCAGGGTGCGTTGCCACGGCTGTCAACTCTCGACCTCAGGTGCAACCAGGTCGACGACGCTGGTGTCGAGGCCCTCGCTGAGAGTGGCAAGCAGGGCTGCCGGGCGCTGTCAAAGCTGTCTCTCGCCCGCAACAGCATCACACCCGTTGGCATCGATGCCTTGGCCGCGGCACTGGACAAGGGTGCCTTTCCGGCTTTGGAGTGCCTGTCCGTCCCTACCCCTGTCTCGCAGCTCCCTCGCATCAAAGAGGCGTGCGAGAAGCGGCATATCACACTAGCTGATCAACTGGCGTGATGAGCAGTGGCACCGCCACTGGCACTGGCACCGCCACTGGCACCGCGCTATCTTTTCGCTTTTCCGCACCGGACCTCTTCGACAGCCCCCCGGGCGGCAGGCCGTGTGCTGGTGTGCTGCATGGTGAGCAGCGGAGAGCGGCACGCACCGGCGACAGACCAGCCGTGAAGATATATTGAAAGCAACGCATCTCCGCAAGCCGAGGCGTTTCAGCGGCCCGGCCGAGGTGTGCGAGGCGCCGCTGCAGCCCGACGCCGTCGTCTGCCCTGCGTGCACACTGCACAACGAGCCGGGCGCCACGGTCTGCGCCTCCTGCGAGCAGCCCGTGTGGCGGTGCAGCGCGTGCACGGACACGGCCGCGCAAATCGAGGCGGACGGTGGGACGGTGCTCGTCTGCACGCTGCCGTGCCAGCATCCCGCATGCGTCGCCTGCCACCGGAGGCACGTGAGCGCGCAGGACGAGCTCGGCCAGCACGAGGTGACGTGCCTGACGTGCGATGCGCCGCTGGACGATGCGTCGCTCCGGGCCATCCTCGGCGACGATGCCCACGCGAGGCGGGCGGAGCGGCTGCTCGGCCACGTCGGCCGCCTGGTCGACTGCCCGACGCCCGACTGCGGCGCCCGCTTCGAGCTGGAGGCGGGCGTGGCGGAGCGCCCGACGACGTGCATGCAGTGCGGCCAGCGTGTGGTGCTGCGCGATCCCTTTGCGCGCGCGCCGCCCGCGCAGCCTGCGCAGCCCGCGCCGACCGCGCCGCCCGGCGCGAGCGCGGACGACCCACACGTGTTGTCGTCGACGAGCGACGACGAGGAGGAGGACGAGTCGACGCAGCAGCCGCAGCGCAAGCGCAGGCGCGACGACGACGGCGCGGCGGCGGCGGGCTCGTCGGAGGCGGCTGGAGCCGCGGCAGCGGCGGTGGCTGCGCCGGCGGCGGAGGAGGAGGAGGCAGTGGGCGCGCCAGCCGCGGCGGAGGCGGCGGCGGCGAGCAGTGGGGCGGCGGCAGCGGCCGAGCCAGAGGGCGTGAGTGCCTACCCTCTCGTGCAGCAGTGCCCCGGATGCGGCCTTGGTGTGTCCAAGGATGACGACGACGACTGCCACAAGATGCAATGCCGCTGCGGCTGCCGGTTCTGCTTCCGCTGCGGCAAGCGGGCAGTGCTGAGCGGCGGCACGTGGCGCATGGCGTGCCGGTGCAACATCGAAGACTACGGGGCGGGGCACCGCTTTCCGCGGCCGCCCACGCCGTGACGTGCAGAGCGAGCGAGCGAGCGTAGAGTTACAGTCAGGACGAAGCGATGATGAGATGAATGTAGCTGTAAACTACCGTACGGGGGAAGGAGACTAGGACCCTCAGTTGCACAGGGGTTGTGCGCCAGGTCCTCCTGCTCGGCTCCAGCGAGTAGACAAGTGTGTTGTCATCAACAGAGTAGAAGGATCTGACCTCGTGGCCGATGTGACCAAGCGCCGGTAGCGTGGTTTAACCTCACACCCATGGTCTCACAGTGTGCCCCGGCAGTCGCCGAGCAGTGTCGCTCACACAAGCCGCAGCACAAGTGACTGAGGGCCAGTGAGGGCGAGCCCATCGCTGTCACAGCTGTGGCAGCCGCACAGTAGGCTGTGTCAACTGTGCAGAGTGTGTGAGCAGCAGAGGAGCTGCTCTCCAGGCTTCAGGCGCAAAGAGATGCATGCCACCGAAGGCGCTGTCGAGGTTCGCCGAGCGCGGCGCAGGTTGGAGGACACCGTCACCGACGAGCGCGTTGGACTTTTCACTCCGGACAAAGACGGCCACACGCACACGAGCTGCGGCCGTGTCGCCGTCATAGTGGCGAGGCGCGGGACCGTCTGTGGCGAAGTGGGTCGCGTCCTCCGATACAGGGGATCCTCAGGGGCCCCTGGGGGCCTCCCAGGGGCATCTGGGCCCTCCCCCAGCAGCTATTCATGCAGAGGCAGCCAGCAGCCAGCAGCCAGCAGCCAGCAGCCAGCAGCCAGAAGCAAGTCTCTGGCTAAGGTGGTTAGCAGCAGGCAGGCAGCCAGCACTCGATCCATGCGCACACACGCCCAAATAACACGCACATGGTGCACCTGGGTAAAGGGAGTCCGCACACCAAAAGGGAGTCGCACACCAAAGGGTACGTGCTCTCCGGTGGATAAGTCCTTGCTAACCTACCAGCCCCGGGGCATCTCGAGGGGCATCCATCACACAGGCAGTCCGCTGGTGTGCTCACGAGAGGGGTGTGAGCCCACTGGGGGAACGTTGCCCTATGGGAAAGCTCGCGTGTGTTGTGGTTTGGAAATTTTTCGGCCCCCCCCCCCCCCCCCCCCGTCCCCGCCATCCTCTCTCTCCCCTACCACTCCCTGTAGGAAAGCAAAGAATGAGCGACTTCATCATCGAGGGCTCAGGAAGAAAGAGGCCTGATCAAGCCACCTACAATGCGCTGAAAACGCTAATCGACGAGGCGGCACAGGCTCAGCCGGCTGATCCGGATTACATCCGGGCCCGCCGGCCCGAGATTGAGGCGCTCAGAGAGGATATCGCGCAGCTGCAAGGGTCACCGCGGGCGCGGGCCGTCGCGATTCTGGAGGCGAGCGAGTCGTTCAACAAGGCCACGCGTGAGCTACGCCTCGACGTGAGCGACGCCACGGTGGAGCAGCTGCGCCGCGTGGTCAAGTTGGCGCAGAGCGACGAGCTCAAGTCGGTGAAGAAGTTCCTCGACCAAATCATGCAACACCGGATGGCGTGGCCTTTTCTGGAGCCTGTCGACGGCCACCTGTATCCATCCTATTACCAGGGCCCGCACGCCGTCATGGATCCGATTGACCTTTGCACCATCAAGATGAAGCTCGAGCAAGGATCCTACGCCGGTGCGGACGCCGTCAAGGCGGACGTGGACGGTGTGTGGGAAAACTGCCGCCACTTCAATGGCGAGACCCATCTCTACTCGACGATGGCAGACGAGCTCGAGAGGCGCTTCAACAAGAAGTTGAACTCCCTGAAGGGGAAGCACGTTCAACGTGGTGTAGATGCACCATCACGAGTTCAAGGCGAAGGAGGCTTTTCTAGCGCGGAGCGGACTTAGCGGCCAGGCGTTGGAGGCCGAGGAGATGCGGTTGATGCGGCTGAGGGAGGGGGCGAGCCTGCTCCGCAGGACGCCTGCCACGGCCACGCCCCTCGGGGCGAAGAAGGCGGGCAAGCGTGCAGCGGAGGCGGCGCGCAGGGCGATTGCGCTTGAGAGGGAGGTGTGGGTTGACGGGGAGTGCCGGGGTGGGCGTCGTAAGGGTGAGGGCGATTGCCGCCCTCCCCCCTTCGCCCACCTCGACGCCTTCGTGTAGGCGCCCCCGCGACTGTGCGTACCTGTGTCGAACCTGTGTGCTGTGTGAGAGAGTTGTTCTGGTGCACTTGGAGCACTTGGAGTGCAGTCGGTAACCTCACATCCAGGGCCGGGGAGCTAAGGAGCGCACCCAGCGGGCCGGATGATCGGGATCGGGTTACGGGCTAGAGAGCCCTAGCCCCGGGGGTGCGCGTTCGCAGGGAAAGGGCCTTAAAGTAAACACGGGTCTCCCAGACCCCAATTTTTTTTCTTCGAAGCTCGCCTTCTGCAAGGGAGTCTTGTTCGGCCGGATCAACTCTTCTCGCCGCCGAACAACATGCTCAACGTGCAGGCCCACGCCTCCGATCTATCCGTGCGCGCGCAGGCTTTCTCGCCCATGTACGAGTATCACTCGCCGCCTGCTGCGCCTCCGCCTCCGCCTCCGCCGTCCGCCTTTGCCCCACGCATGCCGCCTCTACCAGACGGCGCGCCGCACTTTGAGGGCTGGTTGAAGCATGCGGCGACTGTTGCCCTGGCGAACCCGCTTGGAAGCTCCGGCACTGCGCTGGGCACGGCCGTGGCGTGAGGTCGCCTGCGGGCGCTAAGTGAGCGACGAGCAGCTGAGCACGAGGCAGGTTGAGTGCTCGCGAGCCTCGAGACTAGGTTGAGTGCTGACGCGAGCCTCGAGACGTCCGCGAGCACTCGCGAGCCTCGCTGAGAGCCTCGCCTCGCCTGCCTCAGCGCTCGGCCGGTGCCAGTCGCGCCAGCCGCCAGTCCATGTTCAGTCGTGTCCTGAGTCGTATGCATCAGCAGCGCTGTGGTCGTGGAGCCTCACACGCTAGCTACTAGTTACTACGCATACGTTGTATTATTCTTGAAGATGTCGCATCCTCTCTGCCACACACAGAGGTCAGAGCGGCCGGCCGCCTGCTTCCTTCACACAACAGAGGTCAGAGAGCGGCCGGCCGCCTGCTTCCTTGCGGGCGGCAAGGGACAGGGACACAAGGGTTGCAGCAACGCTTATGTGGCACACGCGAGGTGATACAGAGTGCGTCGCTCAATACAGATAGTAGTGCCAGGTGAGCTCCTCCAGCACCGTCCAGTCAGACACGAATCCCTCAGGAAAGGTGACGACGTCCCCGGGGTTTACGACGACTGGCAGCCCCGTCTCCTTTGGCACGATCTCGAGCTTGCCTGATATCAGGTAGCTCAGTTCGCCGTACGGCATCTCCTTGTCCTTCCGCGTCACGTTCGGGAGCCACCTGTCGTTCCCCGCCGTCGTCCATGTCGGCCAGTTCGCCACATCGAGCTCCATGAGCAGAGCAATATCGGCCGCCTCGACGGCAAACGCGTCGTGCAGGACGCGCGGGCCAGTCGCGGCACCCAGCGTGCCGGCGTACTTGTCCGGCCAGCCGGCCACCGCAGGGTGTGTGGGTGCAGACAGAGGCGAGGTGAGGCGCGGAGCCGCGGCACGAGCGCACGGCGTCGACGCGGGCCTCGCGGCCACGTTGAACGCGGCGCTGGCCGGCAGGAGGACGAGGAGCATTGAGCTGCGCCGCAAGCCTCGCCGGCAGGAGGAGCGAGCGAACGAGCGAGCGCAGCAGCGAAGGGTGAAGCTCGCGGGTTTCTCGGTCAGGGTGACGCCGGCGCTCCTTTTCTTTTCACTCGGACCGTTTTTGACCGCGCAAGATATAAAGGGTACATACATACAAAGGGTGTCCTAAGGGCTCTGCTCGCAAGGCGCCCGCGTCGCAGACGCGGTACCATTGACAAATCTGCAATATACCCCCACACGAGCAAATAGCAAAATCCGAATACCGTGCACGAACTGCGTGATCTGCGCCGTGGACGGGGGCAAGCCTTCAGCTGGTTTTTGACGTTTTACGGGAGCACTGCAGCAACCAACCGGCCGGGGGCTATTGCAACATATATGGAGAGCTTCTGCGTGACTTCCGGGAGGCGCGCGACGCCTGCAACAAGCTGCCTTTTGACGACGCGCTGCGCGACAAGATAGCTGCCGAACTGGATCGCATCGAGGCTGCTCCGCCTCTTGAGCGCATGTTGGTGACGAAGCCGCTGATCGCGGGGTGGAGGACATTGGTCAGCCGGCAGAAGGATCCGTCCATCAAGACGCGTCGTCAGGCTGCGCTCACCGTCATGCTGCGCGTCGTCGACCGCCTCCCCGCTCGGGGGCCAAGCCAAGGCGCTGCGAGCGTGCCCGAGTAGCCTTACCGTAGGAACCTTTCATGCTCCAAGGTGACGCAGCCAGCCCCATCCGCCCCCTTGCTCAGACTCTTCCCGCCTAACTGAAGAAACCAGAGGGGTGAGGAACCACCCCGACCCAGTCAATGGCGCGTCGGGGCCAGCGCCTTCAAATGCGCCCCAACCCTCCACTGCTGCCGCTTCATCCTGCGCTGCCACCGGTGCGCGCCGGCTTGAGGCTCCAGGCTGGCTGCCGCGAGAAGCGGATGGGGCTGTGTGGTGTGTGTCTCATGTGGATGGGGTCGGCGGCGGTGTTGGAGGGTGCGCGTGCGAATGAGGCGTCCGCCGGTGAGGCGTCCGGCCGCTAGTGTGCGCACCCTCGAGCCGTCACGACCCTCTGCGTGAATGTATGGCTAGCGTGCTTCCACTGCGCGCCCGCGCCTGCGGCGCCGCTCCCCACCCTTTTGCGCAGCAACACCTTAAACTTTTAGGCCCTCCAAATTCGGGTCGGAGCGTAGCGGAGTGGGCCCCGAGTTTGAAAAAGGGCGACGGACGCTTGCGTCCTAGCCTCCAACAACGCCTCCCCGGCGCAGAGGGGCCCCCGCCCCCCGGAGGGATGCTCAACCGCTCCACGCCACGCCGCTTGCGGCGGTCCTCTTCCCAGCTAAGCTGAGAACGGGCGCCAGGTATCCGTGGGCTCTCGTCACGCGGCCGATCCGCGAGCTACACAGGCCCTTCGCCGATCTCGACGTCTCGACCGCGCCCGGAGAGTGTTTCGACGAGCTGCGAGAGGCGCACACGCAGCTCGTCAGCAGACACGACCTCACCGACAAGTGCCAGCGGAGCTGGCGGACGCAGGTCGTGTGCCGGGAGGTGGTGAGCCCGGGCACTGCGATCAACGAGGCGAAGGCGGAGCCGAGGTTCCGCTTCTACCCGCACGGGCTGACGCCGGCTGCGGAGCTGCTTCCCCTGGCCCAGTTCTCGTCCACCAACGAGTTCTTGCACCAGGCGCAGCGACGGTACACCTCTGGCGTGCACCATGCTAACTGGCTCGACCTTGCCAAGGAGCTTACCGACGAGGCGCTTCGCAGCGGCGGCCGCAAGGCGCCCTCCAAAGGCAACAAGGTCGGAAGACGCAAGAACCACAAATGCTGGCGAGAGGCGATCCGTTTTGTCGCCGTCAGCCAACCAGGGGCCGGCGCCTTCCTCAACGCCATCCCCATGCGTGATGATATGAAGATGGAGTCCTGGGCGATGCGCGTCACCGTCCAGCGCCGCCTTGGGCTCCCCCTTGATGTCGCCTGCCAGGCGGTGGAGGCAGGCAAGAGGGCACCCAGCGGCCAGCTACACGACGCCCTTGGCGACGCCGCGATGGTTAACCCTCGGTCAAAGCATGCTACAAGACACAAATTTCTACTCAAACGTTTGGTCAAATGCCTCCGCTCGGCGTGGGGCATGATCATCGAGATGGAGCCGACTGCACACCTCAGTTACAGTAATCCAAAACAACCTGACGTGGCGGCGGCAAACATCGGCAGGGGGCACAGGCGCCTTGTTGCCGATCTGAAGCTTACAAGTTCGCTCGCGAGCAACAGCAAGGGCAAGGATGGAGAGGGTGAAATTCGGCTCGGCTGGAAGGGGGCCTATGTACGCTTTGGCAACACGGAGACCGGGCTGCTCAAGTTGGTCAAAGGGCGCGGCAAGTGGTCTCCGTCGGAAGCGACGGCAGCGGCGGTGGCGGGGGAGGAGGAGGAGGCCGAGGAGGAGGGGGTGGAGGGGGAGGAGGAGGATGCCCCCAAGGGAAAGCTCAAGGAGCAGCCTGGCGATTACCCCTTTGCGCGGCAGCAGGATTGCGATCTACGTTTGTTTGATTTTGAGGCTTTCGGAGGCTTTGGAAAGGAGGTTCGCAGCACCCTGAGGGAGGCGGCGAACCAGCTGAGCAACAAACTTTCGCACGCTCAGCACCTGGACGAGGTCACATGGACCACCAAGAACTGGCACGGGCTGCAGATGCAGCGCTTGTCTGTCGTCCTCCACACCGCCGTGGCGTGGCAGACGGTGAACGAGCTAGCGTGCGGGGAGAGCGGCATTGTGCATGGTGCGGAGTGCATTGCCGTTCTTAACGGAGTCGCTTAGGCGGCTCCGGTGGTGAGCCTGTGTGTGTGCCAGTCCGCGCCAGTCTGCGCCCTTGTCGTGCCAGTGTGCTGTGAGAGAGGCTCGGCGTAAGAATTCTTTTGAGGCGCCGCCTTGCCGACAGCCTCTCGCGCATTCGCGGCATGGAAATCACAGTGGTCGAGGCGTCCGGCGCTCGGGAGAAGGTGGCGGTCGGGCAGCAGGCCACGCTCGGCGAGCTGCGGCGCCGCATCCTCTCGCTCTCGCTCCGCTCGTGCACGCTTGCCCGCTCGGCGCCCGCCAAGACGCTGCACATCTGCTTTGACGGCGGGGTCCTCGGCCCCGATCGGGACGCGACGTCGTTGGTCGCGCTCGGCGTCACCGGTGCGCCCGTCGTGGTCGTGATTCTCGCCTCGGCTGCAGCAGCGAGCGGACAGGCGCCACCGCAAGGCCCGGCCCTCGGTTCGTCCTCCTCTCCCTCCTCCCTCGGGCAGCCGACCCGGTCCGCAGAGGAGGGAGGCGGCGAGCCGCCGCCGCCGCCACCGACCGCCGCCGCCCCCGCCGCCTCCCTCGACCCGCCCGAGGAGCCGCTGCTCTGCCGCACCTGCCATTGGGCGAGACAGAGGGCCACTTCCCCGAACCTTCCGGGAACTGTCGCATAGGACGCGCTCTGCCGGATCTGCTTTGGCGGTGAGGGGGAGAACGGGCTCGGCCGGCTCATCGCGCCCTGCCTCTGCTCCGGCCCGATGCCGCTCGCGGACGCACGCGCCCACACCATTCCGCTCAGCCGCCAGCCGCCGCCCGAGCTCCTTGTCTTTAGGCTCGATGAAGTACGTGCACGTGCCGTGTCTGAACGACTGGCGAACGGCGTCGGCGAACGCGTCGTCGCTGTACGAGTGCGAGCAGTGCCGGTACAAGTACAACATCGCCCGCACCGAGTACGCCGCGTGGCTCGAAGACGAGAGGCGACCGCGGCCGCTACATCGTTCTTTCCCGTCGTCTCACCGCTGCCCCTCTCCCTCTCTCCCCCCTCTCTCTTCCCCCTCTCTCTTCTCTCTCTCTCTCTCTCTCTTAGGCGCCCGTGCGCGCGGCCGAAGGCCTCACAGCTCTCGGCATCCCTTTACGACGCGCGAGCCTCCTGTGTCAGGCGCCCGCTCGCCCGTCCTCTTCGAAGCGCGCCTCCGCAGTGCTCTTTCCGCTCTGACGCGCCCGCTCTCGTCTGCCAGGCTTGTGCGCGCGGTTGCCGTCAGCCTGCTCCTCCTCTCCGTGGCCGCCGGCGCCCTCCTCCTCGGCCCTCTCCACCCAGAGGTGCGGGACAGCCGAGAGACAGCCGAGAGGCAGCCGAGAGGCAGCCGAGAGGCGGCCGAGACGCAGCCGAGATAGGACCTTCCACGAGCCTTCCACAAACTTTCACGAGCTGTCCACGAACTTTCACGAGCCATCCACGAGCTTCTACGAGCCTTCCACGCACTTTCCACCCCCTTCCACGCCCCTCCCCCTCAGGCGCTGCTCTACCGGCTGGTCGAGTTTGAGCCCTCCAACCCTTGGTAGCGCCATGGCTCGTAGCCTTCCCCGGTGTCTGCCACAGCAGCAGCTCCTCACCACCCCACCGCTGTCGCCCGCAGGTCGTGGGGCCCGCGCTGGGCCGCCACCGCGCGGCGCTGGTGGGGCACACGCCGCTAGATGCGGGGACGGCTTCCTCTCCCTACCCCCACAGTACCCGAACCCACCGACACTGGGCCCACGCCGCTAGATGCGGACGGATCACAAGCGAGAGGAAGCCCCCGTGCTCCGCTGTACCCCGCCGTAGCAACTTGCTCCGCGGTCGGTGGGTTCGGGGGTACTGTGGGGGTAGGGGAGGGGGCGCGTCGCAACCCCTTGAGTCACGCACGCGGGAGCTCTGCACACTTGTGTGCCTAGAACCTCCCCACTGCTCGCGCCCTGACGGCGCCGTGTCCACATCGCACGCGCAGGCTCGCGCTGCGACCGCGTGGTCGCCGGCACGTTGCCCGTCGCGTGCGTCGGCCTCTACCCACTCCGCTGGTACGCCCGCCCTGGGCTGGCAAAAACAGGGCGCGTGGTCCAAATGGCCCCGGGTGGCCCTTGGGGCCCGGGGCCTTGGGGGAACCAGCCGCCCTCCCTTCCTCTCAATAAGATGCTTGTGTTT